TATGGGTATGGATAAAGAGGAGAAAAGGATGGGGGTTGAAGGTAAAAAATAAGGAGATAAGATGAGATGAAGGTTGGAATAAGAAGGGATGGAGAAGAAATAAGGAGGGAAAAGGAGAAAAGGAAAAGGTAAAATAAGAGGAAAAGAAGTAGGTGAAAGTAAGGGAAGTGAAAAAAAAGGAAAAATATGAAGAATGAGGAGATTGAATAGGAAAGAGGGAGAGAAGTAAAGAAGGTGAAGAATGAGGATGAGGATGAGGATGAGGATGAGGATGAGGATGAGGATGAGGGTGAGGGAAAGGGTGAGGGAAAGAGTGAGGATGAGGATGATGAAAAGTGGGTAAGGATGAGAGGAGGAAGGTATGTTGTTGTTATTAAAAAAAGGAAGAGTATAAAAGTGAGAGAGGTTTGATAAAAAAGAAGAAGTGAAGAATGAGGATGAGTTTGAGGGAAAGGATAAGGATGGGGATGAGGAGAAAAAAAAAAGAGGAAGATGAGGGTGAGAGGAGGAAGGAAAATGTGAAAGGAAGGGATGATGTGGTTGTAGTAATGAAATTGGAAGAGGATGAAGAGTGAGGGGAATTGAATAAGGGAGATGGAAAAGAATTATAAGGATAAGAAGGATGGAGTGAAGAATGAGGATGAGTGTGAGAGAAATGGTGATGTAAAAGGGTGAAGGGAAGGATGATGAGAAGAATGAGGATGATGATGAGGAGGAGGAGAAAATAAGGAGGGTGAGGATGATAGGATGGGGAAGAATGTGGAAGGATAGAAAAGATAGGGAAAGTATGAGAAGAAAAAAGAGGAGAATGAGAAGAAGGAGATATGGAATAAGGATAAGGAGGGCGAGAGGGAAGGATGAAGAGGAGGATGAGGAATAATTATAAGGATGAGAAGTATAAGTAAAAGGATGATAAGGAGGAGAGGTGGATGATGAGGAAAAGAAGGGTTAGGGTTAGGGTTAGGGTTAGGGTTAGGGTTAGGGTTAGGGTTAGGGTTAGGGTTAGGGTTAGGGTTAGGGTTAGGGTTAGGGTTAGGGTTAGGGTTAGGGTTAGGGTTAGGGTTAGGGTTAGGGTTAGGGTTAGGGTTAGGGTTAGGGTTAGGGTTAGGGTTAGGGTTAGGGTTAGGGTTAGGGTTAGGGTTAGGGTTAGGGTTAGGGTTAGGGTTAGGGTTAGGGTTAGGGTTAGGGTTAGGGTTAGGGTTAGGGTTAGGGTTAGGGTTAGGGTTAGGGTTAGGGTTAGGGTTAGGGTTAGGGTTA